AGATTCATAGGCATACAAATTCCTAAAACACAAATGAATCCAGGATGGTTTATTAGTATATAGCCTACATGTTGAAGCTGGACACATAGTCCTTAACATGCAAGCATTTTTGATACATCATTTATATATACATAAAATACATGTAGGGAAGCATAATTTGAAAACTCATTTTAAATTGTATATTGAAGCTGCTCTAAACAGTTTTAGCCAGCAGAGGTCACTGAAGAGGACTGTCTTTAAAACCTCTCAGGAATTCACCTTTTTCAATGCAGGTTTAAATGATTCAGGAAGCTTAATTTTCTCTTAACTATAGACTGGTTTAGATTCTGATTTCAGTGTTAGTCTAGGTGTTTAAATCACATTAGACCCTTTTGCTTTCAGTTGGATCTCTGATATTGGGTAATTTGCCATCAGCAGCTGCTCTGACTTTACTTGATTATTATCACCTGGCCCTTATCCTACTAATCACCGCTTCAGCAGATGAAAGTAAAGTACCAATACCTTTGGTGCAATTACCTTTAAATTGACCTTGCCAGTACATTGGTCATCCTTGTGTTTGTTCCTCTCATTCCTTTATTGTAACTGTAAGTTTTGGTTTGTTGGCTTTTTTTTTCCCTTTTCTTCCAAGATTTTAAGTGGAAGACAAAACTCTGCAGTTAAGTCATTTTCTTGCAACCATCATGACAAGTATTTCTAGGATCTAGAGGTCAGACAGCTATCAGGCAAGGGTTTGGCTAGTGAAATTGACTTAATGGTTTATTTAATGACAGTTAAACCATGATTAAGCAACAGGAAGTGATGACTCTAACATAGTCCCAGGTGCCCTTAGAAACGTCTTTCCTTTTGTTTTTACTCGCATTGTGAAGATTTACTAAGGGTGGTACTTTTTCACAGTATATTTTATATAAAATTGGATGGAATAAGTGATAAATGTGTAAATGTAAATCAAGTATGAAGTTTGGCACTTTTAAGGATCTTATCTTAAAAATCATAGTCAAAAACTTGACTAGATGAGTTTAAAAACACTAATAATATTGAAAATATTTTTTTTGTGGGAGAGGTGAAAATTATTTAGATGTATGCATTTTTTTTCTTTGAAACCATGTTTTCCATTTCTGTCCTTCCAATATCCATTTGATGAAATATAAATCAAATAGCAATGTCCTTAAGCTCTTTTATACCACCTAATTCCGCTTTGTAGTCTTTATCGTGAATCTGGAAACCAAAATCAAGTTTCATACACAGACATAATTGTGTTTTTTGTGTTTGTTTTGTTTTTGCATTTTTTAAGACATTTTCAGCACTATTTTTTGCCCTTTTTTGGGCCAGTTGCCTCATGACCACTGATTTAGCAACAACAAAATACTAATCTACCCCCTGCTCATGTAGGCAGTCAATTATACAACCACATTGCCTGGAAGTAAACTTCAGGTGGTAGATTACAGAAAATTGCCTAAAGTTTGGTGAAAAAGTACAAAAGGCCAAATGGGATGACATGATCAGTACTCTGAAATGGCTGAGGTTGGAATCCAGTGCTTTGAATCATTCTTATGTTTTTGTTTTAGTATTTCAAGCTTTCTTTTTCCTTTTTGTAGAGTTAATGTTGATCTACAGTATCTCCTCAAACCTGTTCCCTTTAGTGCAATGGTTCCCCAAACATGGTTCTCAGGCCACTATTCTGAAACTATTTGATGCATCCCATTTTGAACATGCCTGAATCAAATGAGTGGCTGGTTGCCCTGCCTCTGCTGGGCTAAATGAGGGGATTGAGCCTTTACATTTAGGTGTGTTAGAGTAGGGAAGCATGTAAAATTAACAGGATGGTAGCTTCTGAGGACTAGGCTTGAGCAATCCTGTTTTAGGCTGTGTCTACAGTTTACTTTGCCATTTGCTACCAACCATAGAAAAGACAGAAAATGTCTGGAGAAAGACGATGTTTTCAGATAAGATCAACATTTCCTTTGCAAGCCTATGAGCAAACTGTGCACATAGACTTGATTGCTCAGTGAAACATGATTGTAGCAGCATCATGTATATTTTCCTTTAGATGGGACAACAGTGCTAAACTATTTTTTAATAAGATGCCTTTTAAAGGCACAGGATTTTACATTGTGAGATAGGGAGTGAAATAAGACATCATGGCTATGCTCTGCTGTTATCTACTCATAGAGCTTTTATAAAGTATTTTCAAACTTGTAACTGTAATTTGCGAAAATGTTAATGGCCTGTGTATACCTTTTGCAAGCTTTGTAAATGAAACCAAAGGACTACATGTGGTAAGTTGACACAGGTCAAAATGAGACTTTCCTATTTATTTATGTTCCCATGTAATTTTTATGTCAAACTCTATATTTACTATCATCTAAGTATGTCTGGTTAATTTATTCATTCTGAAAGCAGCATAGTGAAAGAGTTCAGGATTCGCTGTTTGGTTTTTACAACAGCTGAAGCTACATGTGTGTTAAAGCATTTAGGTCAAATGCCATAAAATACAAATATTTCATTAATTATCTTTAAAACTTGGTGTAATTTAATAGTTTGACTGAAATGTTTTTCTAATGCTTTCTCTTCTTTCTGTTTGGATGGGTTTACTTTATTTTTTATGAGTGAATAGCAGTGCCGTGTAAACATGTGGGTGTTCTACTCATACCTACGCATGCACACATGCCGGCAAAGACTGTCCATGCATAGGCTGCTTATCCACCCTCACAGTATAGAAAATTACAAAGAGTTTCTTCTTGGTAAGAGGAAAAATGAAGTGGGATGCTGGGAGATCATTAGAGTTCCATCATTTATCACTGAAGACAGATGAGAAAATGCATCACTGCCTACACATGCTCATTCAATTTGAGTGGGGTAAAGAGAAGAAAAAATGTGAAACAGAAAAAAAAGAGTCATGTCTGCATAGGAAGGTCAAAGAGATTGGAGGTGGGATGAAAATAGAACTGATTTTGTATATATGTACACCAATGGAGATGGCATGAAATTAAAATCTAAGGGAGGAAATTAAGCTTGTATCGATTTATAATAGCTTCTGTTGCAGTTATAACCTATTCTCTTTTATCAATTTTTTTAAAAGCTCAGTTATTCAATTACTGAAGAATTGTTATCTTTTTGGCTACATGTAGAAACAGGTTGGTAGAGCTGAACAGCTTTACCATGAACCAAACAAGACAAAAAAATGTTTTTAGGGTCTGATTTTGGTCCTAATATGCAATCACTTTTAGAAAAATAAAATACAGCATGGAATTGTAAGAGCTCAAATAAAGTATTTCACAGAGATGCATTGATAATTATAAAATGCAGATATCCATTTACTTTTGGCTGTTGTCATCACATCTAAAATTGGATTCAAATGATGAGTTATACTGTCACATGCTCTTACTTTGAAGCTTCCTGTCCAGGTGCTCGGGGCTGTGAGTTTGCTCCAATGAGGACACATCTGCCCTCACAGACAACACAGCAAATGAGCACTTGCTGTCACATCACCACACTTCCTGTTGACGTAGAGGACAGCCGACAGGTTTTAATATCCTTGACGCTGCATCTGCTTTCTGGTTGTGCATTTTCCAACAACATTAACCCAAAATATGCTGCAGGTTTGATTTGCAGGATGTGAGCTGATGACTGTTCACAGGTGTCTGGAAAAGGGTTGTACTCTTGAAGATTGGGTGGGGAGTTGGGTTGCTGCTTCTCTAATTTAAAATATCATTTGTAGAGCTCTATTGGATACTTCAAGCTATAAAGCTTTATAAAAGAGATGAGATTAGGAATCCATTGACTTATCTACTTTCAAAGAGTGAAACCTGAATACCTCACAGAGTTCTGCCAACATTCAATCTCACATTAAGAAAGGCTATATCACACTGATTGTGAATGCAGACTAGAAAAAGCCAGATTCTCCAACCTATGAGTCATCTGCAGACCTTTGCAGATGTCTTATCTGTGTTTCTGAATATTTCATGATGGCAAACACCTCTAAAATTAGATATGTGAGATTATGGAATAATGACGCCTGATGAATTCTATTTCCTTCAAGGTAATCTCTAATGTGAAGTCACACTGCTATGATCACCATTAATCTCTGTTCAGGAGCAATAGATTCTTGATCCAAAATTTATTTTGAAGATGAGAAATTAATATTTTGTGAAGATTAGGGCTTTCTTTGTTTATTTCTTCTCTCAGCCTAGACATATTTTGTAGCCTTGATAGTCGCCTTTAAGTACATATTTTCCTTCACTGATGTCTTAGGATCACTTGCAAGGTGGATCATGCGCAGTCGGTCTCAATGCGTTTGGAGAACCTGCGTTAAGATGACTACACTTCTACAGAAAGGAACGGAAATTGTTAGGGGGGATTTCAACGTAAAGTACACTGGATAAAAAAAACAAACCAAAAAAAAACATCGTGAATATATTTAAAAAGCTTTCGAATAATTGCCTTTAACTCTTGAGATACAACATATTTAGCTGTTTAAAAAAATAGGATTGGTGGTGTTATAAAGAATAAGCTAAACAATGATGACAAAAATTTACGTATTTACAGATAAAATTGTATATATATATATATATATATATATATATATATATCACGTATGACTGACGAAAAATATGACAAAATATTTTCTATAGATATGAAGAAAGTTATATTTTACTTGTTTTTAAAAACATACATTTTTACACTTTTGTACCAATTGTAGTTAATTTCTTTACATAACTAAATGTAAAAGCTCATATCTAAATAAAATATTTTTACATATTGGAAAAATGTTACATGATACAGCATGAAAAATTTAAATTATCTCTTTTAGTTTTTTTTTTTTTAAACAAAAGTAAATATTTACATGGTTCTTAGATTATATGCATTTAGGAAAAGTAATAGCTTATTTTAACAAAAACAGAAAGGTAAGTACGTTCTTAAAAAATTTATTTTGTAACATTGGACCGGAAATCTGGTTCAGTGGTTGTGAGCGCTAGTAAAACGAAGACCCTTCACCGAGAACTGTGGCAACTGGGGATGGAAGCTGAAGATATGCGATGCACAGAAAAACGGGAAATGGAAATGGAGCCCTGCCACGGGACAAGGAAATAACAGAAGACATCTAAATAATCCGTCATGCTTTGATACTCCAAATGATTGTCATTTTTGGAGATAAATAGTATCTAAAAACGGGTCTTGGGTTGATCTGAGAACTGGGGGGGAGCGGGAGGGGTCGATCATGGGGAACGAAGCGAGCCTGGAAGGAGGCGAAGGGCCGCTATCTGGTCTACCTGAAGGGCTGGCACCTGACGGGAAGGGCGGCTTCGTCCGGGTCTCCGACGGTTCTCCGGTCAACCTGAGCGAGGATGAGAAGAGGCAGCTGGCAGCGGCGATGTCAAGGGCGCAGGGCAGGCAACCTGGAGCTCCAGCAGCTGCACGAAGGCAGGGGTTTTAAACGGCATCTTTTTATTCACCTCACATATTAAACAAGCGTTTATGAATGGAAGGTGGGAGTGAATGTGCGGTTATTAGAATATATGGGATGAGGAAGTGCGGAGTCCAATTTTAAATCCTACACACAAGAAACCCTAATTTATTCCAGGAGTTCATTATGTTGAATAATCAACGGGATTCTATTAGAATGCGTTTTTACTGTTGAATACCAAAATTGGCTTTAGATATGCAAAATTGAAGGTTAAACCGCGTTTTATTTATTGTTCTGTAAATTAAAACACCACCTCCGATTTGATCGGCCATTCTGTATGAAATCAGAGAGACACACCTCCAGTAGTCTATTTATGAGAAATGGTCGAAATGCCTGCTGGGTAAGGAATCCGGTCGTGCCCATTGCTCTTTTAAAAATCTTATTTTCCTTCTACTGTTTTCTACATCATCTTAACCCCAAACCTTCACATTATTTAATAGTTAAAATATAAATGGAGAAATTATATTTGTTTTCATTATGCAGTCATGCAGTTAGAAGATCTCCTTAGGTGTCGGATAAGTGATGCGCCTTCGTGCTAATTGGCTCCAACTGGGGGAAAATTGTTATTTATAACCGAGCTAGAGATGGGGGAGGGGGGGCATCGATATTATTATGACTATAAATAGAACAGAGGCGTTAATGTTCTCTCATATTGTCCTTCCCCCTCCGCGTTTTGCGTATTAAAAGCTGCGCTCGAGCTCCTGCGGTCTTGACGCTGTCCATGGTGCTGAAAACATTCACTGCGGCGTTATTTGCAAATTGGCAACGTTTGTCGTCAGAGCCGACCCAAAATATTATGAAGCCCAAAGCAAAATATCCTCCCAGGGCCACCACAGCGCTTGTAAATAGCATGTGCATGACTCCTTTCAGATTATTTTTTACTATTATTTTAGATTTTATTAATTCTGTCTTCTGCAAACTCTATCCTAAAGTGAGGTTTTGAACACCCATAATGCTACATTGATAGGCAACCATGAAAAAAAGGGCTTTTACTTTAGGTAATAGTGGCTGAGACTGCAACTTGATGTCCACTTAATGCACCATGCCAATCCTTTCAGTTAAACCCTGCATTTAAGGAAATTATTAACATTCCCAAAAATGAGCTGCAATGAGCTCATTAATCTGGTGACATCAAATTATGCATTAGTCAATCGATTTGTACATATAACTACTAACACTGACCAAGATTTTTAGAGGTTTTCAAACAGTGTTTTTTAAATTTATGTTGGTAGCAAGAAAGAAACATTCTTATAAAAGAAATATTTTACCATAAACTATACACTAAATATTAAAAGTATATTGCAATCAGCAACTAATCACAGAAGGAAGATTAAGAGTAGCACTTACTGATTGGCTGCTGACATTTACAGTAAGATAGCACTCATGCCCACATTGAAAATAATTGGATACTATTCATTGCAACATTTAACTTTACTGCCTGAGATTTTTATTTGATTATACCAAAGCATCCAGGGACCTTTACTATAACAGAAACAAATGTGTGTGCATGTTCTAGACATGCACCATCATGCTTTAATCAAGGGCAGCCAGTCAGTCCATTAATGCAATGATGCATTTCTCTAAGCATCCAGTTGGCATTTGCTTTATTCTTTGTGCAGATTGTGTGTACATACTGTACCCTCTCATTCTGACTTTACATGCAAGGTATCGCTGGCTGTTTCTCGCTCTTTGTCAACATTTTACACTGTCATTCGTCAGTATCCTTTTTTTTTGTCAGCTTAAACCTCAAGGCTAGGAGCTATAATTTTTTTTTGCTTTATGTTTTCAATGATGTGTTGATGTAGCCTTTAAAAAATACTGTTATGGCTGGATCGTTGTATTATAATTAAAACTAGGTAATATTTAGGGCAATGTAGTGTACAAATATATTACTCAAAATGTGAAGGTAAATGAATGCATTAACTTTGCCTATAGCTATATTATACCACTTAAATTGATGGGTTAAATGCAGAGAAGTCATTTCCCTCTGGGATTATTAGAGTATGTAAAAAAAAAAATAAATAAATGCATTCCTGTTGCATCAAATTGTTATTTTTATTATGATGTGAAGGAAAAAATGTACATACCTGAAATGTGCATGTATATTCAGCCTCCATGGATAGTACTGTGTAGGCTCCCATTTTGCTGTTAGAGCCACAGTTTTTGGATAAATCTCTAACAACTTCTAATCTCTGGAGATTAAAGGTCTTGCTGATTCTTTTTTGTAAAGTAGCACAACCTCAATGTAATTGGCTTGAAAGATTCTGTGAAAATCAAATCTCATGTCTCATCAAAGATTTTCAGTAAGTTTTAGGTCAAAACTATACCACTGTAGCCTGCTGTGTGATTATTGGATGTGTTCTCCTGGAAGGTGAACATGTGATCTAAGTTATTTGCAGCTTAAATGGACTTTTCAAAAGGAATACCCTGTAGTTAGCTCTCCTCATCATTTCATTGATACTGAATAGTTTCATTGTCTCTGCTTATGAAAAATCAAGCCCTCAGTATGATGGCCATCACCATGTTTTAAGGCACAGTGTGTTAGAAGTGATTTACAACGTTAGTTTTGGGGCCAAAATGTTTTATTTTGCTCTCTCTCAAGGATCTGCTTGCAGCACTTTTTTGGACACGTTTTCTGTGTCTCCTGTGTGTCTTATAGCAAACTGGAAGCACAACTTAGGGTGTGCTTTTACAGATGAAATCCAATATTTTGTAAGACTGTCCTGTCAAATTATCTCTTATAGGTAGTACATCCCTGTAGCTTCTCCAGAGATTCAAAGGCCTTTTTGGTGTTTCCCTGAATAAGTCTCACCTTGCTCAGTCTGTCAGTCTAGGTGGATGTCTACGTCTCTTTTGGTCATAGTTGCACCATCCTCTTTTAAGGTAATGAATTGAAAAGTGCTGATTGAGATTAATACAACTATCAATAATATTTGTCATCATAAGGTGATAGTCATTGTCATATTGTTATCATCCTCCCTCCTCCCTGTAGTGGCTCTCTTAATTGCCAAATCTGAGACCCAAATTTGAAGCATTGACCCCAAAGCCAATACCATTTCATACTGTCAATAGCACAGCAGAGGTTTAAGGCTCAGCCAGCCTTACATAGCATGACATCCTTGCATAGATGTTAAGGCCCCCACATGCTTATGAGAAGAAATGTCAAAATCACAAGGAGAGCATTGTTTGCCATTTTTGCTTCATTTCCATAGTTATCTTGGTTGGTTCTTAGCTAATAAAGCTGACCCTGTTGGTCCAGTCTTTGAAATCCAGCTCTATCAGCCCTGTAAATGTTGTATCAATCTGGCTGACCAGGCTATGTCGCTTTAGTTGTAATCGCTATTGGTAGATTTTTTATGTGTTATGTTGGTTGTTGTTATTGAACTTGTGGGACAAAAGTGGTGTTGGATTTAGGCATTCACCCTGCCAGTGGTTTGAACGCCAGGTCTGTCCATTTCAGAATGCTGGTGAATATTCTAAGTCATCCAGGTCATAGTCATTCCAAAACTGTAAAAAGAAAACAAACCCTGAACTTTGTTTTCCAAGTTTGAAGATGTTTTACTTCCCATCCACAAAGCTTTTTCAAATCAAAATGTCTGAAATAGCGTTGAATTCCAAGCTTTATAGAGTAGCCCAACAAAGCCTTGTTTTGGCTTAGAAAACATGCATATTTAACCGGAAGAACAGGTCCGCCCCTTAGTATAGGGGATTTGTTGGGGTCTTTGTTAGTCTGCAATACCCGATACTGGTCTATGCCACTGAGAAGGTGAGATGTCTTGGTCCCCTCCATGGCAATGAGGATTATGATAGCAGGAAGGAATCGGTTCAGGCCAGACACTTCACCCACATTGCCTTCTGCATGTGGTCTGAGGGATAGGTGATGCCTACGTACAGCAGTCTTTTTTTTCTGTCAGTGAGCCCCAGGGCAGCTGTGGCTACAGTGCAGTTTGCCTTCATCAGTGTGTGTGTGTGTGTGTGTGTGTGTGTGTGTGTGTCTTAGTGGTTGAACAACTGAATATAGTGTTAAGAGCTTTAAAGTCCTCTGACTTGGAAAAAGTGCAATAGAAGTACAAGCCATTTACCATTACACTTGAAACTGCTTCTACCTATGCTTTGGCTACTGGATGCACTTTTTAGAGTTCTGTTTGGGTCCTTCTGTAGATCAATCTGTCTTTTAGTCTGTATCCTGGGCTTTAGCATAGGCCAACCTTTACTCGCTACCCATCATTTCTAAGTTGGAAAAACCACCATTCTCTTTGCAAGTAGAATATTGGTACAGAAGTGGATATAGGTTTTGTTTTCCTACAGATCAGCCTTTACTTCTACTGAAAGCAGTTTTGCAAGGTTGAGGAAACCTCCAAATGTAAATATCTGTAAAAATTGGTCTGGTTCTGCAGATCAAAATTACTAAGGTTTAATGGTTTGCTTCTGCAAAATACTAAGTACACTAATCATATCTTACCTGGATCTCACTCTGTATGAATGAAATACTTGACATGTTAGCTGTGGTTATTTTAATTATTGGCCTCATTTTTGAGATGTGACTTAATGTCATCATCCAGCACAAACTGCCATGACTTGAACATTCTTGTTTCCTTTAAAAAAGTTTAAGTTAGAAAGCGATAAGTTCAATTTTGTGCTGTAGTTACATGCATATGGATCAGAATTACCCATAGACCTGTTTTACTTACAGTTCAGTGTTGTATGTTAATTTTGTTGTTTTGCTTTTTTTTTTTGTTAAGACACTTACTGAGACTTTTCTTTTGTTTTTCAGACCTTCAGAATCTGATGCTCAGCAACACGTAGGAGCCTTAAGGGGCCCATCAGGTTTAAGTAAAAGTCGAACTGTAGATGCCTTCAACCAGGGTCCTCCTGGCAAACCCAAACCGGGCCGCAGCCCTTCTTCACTGAGCCTCTTTGAATCCAGATTCCGGCAGGAGCCAAAAGGCCAAGAGACAAAATCATCCGGCATGTTTGGCTCCAGCTTCCTCAGTGGGGCAAATCCCCTCAGTGCTATGACGTCCTCCATCTCGTCCATGGGGGACTCTGTCAACATTCCCAAGTTTGGACTGTTTGGGGATGAGGAGGAGGGTGAAGCATTGGCCAAAGCAGAGAACAAGCAGGGAGGGAAGCCAGCAGGGAAGGGCCCCCAGCAGGGCCCAGGACCAAAGGCACCACAGCAAGGTGTACCCCCAAAACAGCCAGGACAAGTCCCTCCTGGGCAGGGGCCAAAGCCAGGCCAAGGCCCTCCTGGGCAGGGGCCAAAGCCAGGCCAGGGTCCTCCTGGGCAGGGGCCAAAGCCAGGCCANTCCTCCTGGGCAGGGGCCAAAGCCAGGCCAAGGCCCTCCTGGGCAGGGGCCAAAGCCAGGTCAGGGCCTCCCTAGTCAAGGACCTGGACAAGGGACACCTAATCAAGGACCCAAGGCAATTTCTTCAGGGCAAGGACCACCTAATCAGGGTCCAAAATCCAGTCAAGGTCCTCCTGGCCAAGGACCAAGACCTGCAGGCCAGGCGCAGCAGGTACCCAGACCAGATCATAGTGGACCTGGCCAGACTAGAGGTGGTCCACCACAACAAGGACCTGGAAAGCCTGTGTCAAAACTGCAAGGACAGCAAGGCCCCATGCCAGCCAAGGATACTGGGCCCCCCAGTCAACAGATAGCTGGAAAGCCTGCAAGTGGACTCTGCCTGCTGTGTAAAACGACCCAGCTCAACACTGGATCTAAGGAGCCACCCAATTACAATACCTGCACTGAGTGCAAGAACCAGGTCTGCAGCCTGTGTGGCTTCAGCCCGCCCGACTCAGGGGTAAGACGCTGACTGCCTTCCTTTCATTTGCTGTTGTCTTTTTTTTGTTATGTTTTGTTTTACCTGTTTCTTAAAAATAGACTTAATTCTTGATTAAAAAAAAAAAGAGCTGAAGTTAGTTTTGTTACACTTATAGTAGTTTTCCTGTTCTTAACTGGCTTCATATCATATAAATACAATAATTCATTCTGAATTACACACTGGAGCTGACAATGCTGTGCTTGCAGAAAAAGAATTTACTCTGCTGCTTCCCTGGAAAAACTAGACTACGGTATTTAAATCTTCAGTTGTGTACTGTTGTCATTTTGCCAGACAGCAAAAATAGAACTCAAATAAAAGGAACAAAATTCAACCTTTCGATGCAAGCATTATCATAATCATCATCGTCATAAATTATACTGTATAGTCTAACCGAATTGTAAAGGTAAAAGTTAAAAAGTGAAAAAAACAAAAAGAATGTCAGGAGATCAAAATCAGATATATATATATTTTTTTTACTTGTTCTGATCGATGTTTAAACATTGACAAATAAAATTTTAATCACAATGTTCATTATAATTAGGCTATAAAATGTGTGTTTGTATAACATTTTTTTGTAATTTTCTAAAAGAAATAAAGATATACATGCCCTACTTTATGCTGGGCATGCTTTTTATATCTATACTTTGTGTTTTAATTGAAATTTAAAACTTCAGTTTTGTATCCAGTCTCATATATTCTTTTTTTTTTGTTGTTATAAAAGGATAAACAAATAAACTGTCGATTTTGAAAGGCCTGATTGGTGCATATCTAATAAATGTTAGATATAAAACATTAGAAATAGATAATTTAAATAACACACTGATTGATGCTTATTTTCATACTACAATAGAATTCAAGGCTAGCCTGTTCCCAACATATTGGGCTTTCCTGACTGTGGCATTGGGCATGTTGCTAATAAAGGCAACATGCATGATCTGAGAAACAGAGGGACCATATGGACTTAGGGAATACTGACCAAGGTGACTCATATCATGGCCACAGGAAGGAAATGTGCCAGCAAGTGGTGAATTTCACTCAACAAAACTTAAGAGATGGATCTCTCTCTCTCTCTCTCTCTCTTTTTCTGTTTATCTCTCTCTATATATATATATGTATATATATATATTTTTTGTTTTTTCTCTTAGACCTGCTTTTTTTTTTTAAATCAAATTAGTTATAAAGTAAAATTTTAAATTTTGTGTGTATCACGTGACTACAATAGGAAGAAAAAGCAAAAACTATCATTGAATGCCTAAAAAAAAATGTTTTTTGTAGCTGTTACATCCCCTGGCTGAGTCTAGGGGGTGTAAGGGACCAGCGTAAATGTAGACAGTGAATGAATAGGTCAAAAGGGCATTTAAAGGTTTTATTCTGCCTTTTCTTGTGAATAAATTATGGTAAAAGCTTCAGCGAGAGCCAAGGCCAAAATAACAAACAAAACAACCCTAAAGAAAAAAGAAAAGTGGACTTACCTAACTCAATATGAAACCAAAATATACAAACCTACAAAATAACCTACCTAACCACCACATAATTAGGATAAAACTGGGGTTAAACAAATAGGCAGCTCTCCCCTACAAAAACATCCAAACAGGTCTACTTAATAGCCCATTAGCTTCTACAAGGATCACAGAGGTGTACAGTATGGCAGACAAATGGCTCAGAGGCCCTGAAGTACTGCTTCACAGGCCTTAAATAGTCTTCAGGTGATCTTGATTGGACAGACTCAGGAAGCAGCAGCCAGTCTTAAAGGTGGAGCCTAAAACAGAGCAAAGTGTTAATTGGATGCAAAAACAAAGACATCCAACTTGGGGATGTAACAGAAGCTCAATGTTATGAAACTCTTATGAGCATTTTTCTTTTTTATTATGTTTTTTTTGTAACTTGACCTTTAGTTACGCTGGACATGAAAGTAACGTCCATGGCAGAAAGTAAAGAAAACAAGGATATGCAAATAGTTGTTTTTTTTCCATGGCTGTATAAATGTAGGTGGGTTACGATTAGACACATCAGAATTAATTACTTTTACCTTGTGTAGATCAACATTGTAGTATTGTTAGAGTTTGTTTATATTAAGGGATGATAAACACAGCAACGCACTAATGGGCAATATAAATATGACTGCTAACAGACATGGAAGAGGTCTTTTCTAAAGAATTGTGATATACAAATAAATTTGCCTTGCCTTGCCTTTCTAGATAGGGTTTCAATTGTTAACAGCTGGTCTGTTGTAGAAACCAAGATGGTCAAACCCTACAAACAAAAGTCTTTGCCACTCTTTGTTTTTGTGTTTTTTCTTTTCTTTTTTTGGACTGTGTGTTTGTTATGGTTAAATCATAAACAATAAAAAAAAATTGGACTTATTAGCTCTAAGTAATTTTCCTTCCTTTTTTAAGGAAATTGCAATAATAGTAGTAATAATTTTTAAAATATAAGCGAACATAGTTTCAAACACTGCTCCCATAAGTGAATTGCATTTATAAAGCCCCTTTTTAATGTTTCAAAGTCATTCACACAGTTAAGACAAAAAAAATTAAAGGGTAGATAAAATGGATGAAAAGCTTTAATATTCAAAAAATCAATAAAAAAGGTAATAGTTATAAAACCCAAACCTCAATGTGGGAATTTAGAGGTTTTCAGCTTATTTTCAAACCCTGTAGGAGTTTAAGCAGGGTATGAAGAAGGGCATTCCTACTATGTAACCTAGTGCAAAAGTGTAGCAGATCAGATGTTGTATAAAGGTTTGCCTAAGCTAGGCTATAAAAGCTTATACAAACAGCTCAAAATAGATTCAAAGTTCGCTAGTAGCTATTAAAGAGAGATTAAAACAGTCATTATCTGGACTGTTTTGGAAACAGTTTGTGGAGTAAAAAGACTTGAAAAGTTTTTTTCCAAAATAGCCAAGCCCCCCTTGTTATGAAATTGTTAGAAAGTTTGTTAAAATTGTCTAGGGGATAGATATGAAAGCATGAGTAATTTTCAAATCACCCTTCAATATAAGAGGATTTCATCCTTTAAAATCCTTTAGTTGTTTAGAATTTCACTCCATGGAAATTGCTGAGTCAGAAATTGCAGTAAAGTTTTGTATATAATGCCGGACAGACGAGCCAATATAATGATGCTGACTTTTGAATCAGTCCTCACTCTACCTTAATGTGATTTATTAATTTAATTAATTTGCTGGTTGATATTGAGGCCTTGACTCTCTCTAAACCATCTCACTGTAATGGTCTTTGGATTTCATATCTTTTAGGATTTGGTAATTAACCAATTTTTATCAGTCAATCAAATTGTTGTTTATGACAAATACATTTTTTGGGAAAAAAATCAACCTTTTTTAGCTGATCTTGGCCTTTCATAACTTAGAGTGAAATCAGTTCAGAACATTTTCTTCTTAGATTTCAACTTAGACGTCACTGATAAACTAGCTGACTATGCCATATCACTTGTTGTAAACTGTTATATTTTCATTGTTTGTTGTGAAACGTTATTTTTTTACAGCATTTTTCGCAGCTTGAATTGTGTTTCCCTTAAATATTAAGGACAGAGAATCAGAATCAGAATCAGAATCAAGTTTATTGCCAAGTAGGTTTGCACTTACAAGGAATTTGACTTGGTGTTGTTGGTGCAGACAAAAAACAAAACAAAATTATTAGGGAATTATTATACTATTTGTCACTTTTATTATAAAACCTAAGTGAGGAAAAAAATAGATGCATTCAATTTGTTAGTAATAAATATTAAATAAATAAAAATCTTCTGTAAAATATGCAAAGTTTGTGATATTTTCTAATGCAATCCTGCTTTATAAGTCTTCATAGGCCTCGCTCTGACATATCTGCCTTGTTCCTTGGTTATCATAAGGCTGCTTGTTCACTACTCTTTTCTAATAAACCTAAGAAGATTCAACAGAATAGCTGAATTTAAAATGGGTTTGAATTACAAACAAATGACTCTGTCCAACAGTTGTTTATGATGGATATTTGTTGCTTTGGGTGTTAAATGGTGGGTATCGTGTATCACATCACATTTTCAGATTTGTATGCATAGAATAATAAATAAATAAAAAATACATATTCCACTTTAGAATTATGCACCAATTAGCTTTATTGGATTTACCTACATCCATACATCCATAAATTTTTTGTCACACTTATCCCTGCTGGGGTTGCGAGGGTGCCTATCTCCAGCTGTCCATGGGCGAGAGGCGGGATACACCCTGGACAGGTTGTCAGTCCATCGCAGTTGATCACCTACAATCCAGATCAAAATCAGTGATGTGGTTTTAGTTAATATTTTTTTTCACTCGTTTCAAACAATTAAAGTTGCTACAATAGCCATTTTGATTGTAGTAAAACACCATGAACCAACACCAGTTATCTGAAAAGCTGACTTTGGATCACCGAGCAACAATCAATTTGTTTTTTAATTATTTGCCTTTATTCTTCCTTTATCTGATTTAGGACTGCTTTGACACAAGGAATACAGCAAACTATTTGCAGGCTGCGTGTTGGTTTTGTCTGTGTGCAGCTTATCTTCTGCTGACTCGAGCTTCTGTCTGGATCTTGCTTTATAATTATATAAAGGACTGCAGTTATCCATGTAACTGGGGCACCTTTTCTTGTCACGCTTTTTCCTTCCTGTCAACTTTGTATAAGTATACTCAGATGCAGCTCTGTGTGAGCAAACAGCTAGTCATCTTAGTATTTTTTTATTTTTTTTGTCTGCTTACCTACGCAGAGAGACCACTTTGAGGCTGAGGGATCCTTTGCAGATGCTTTGAGTTAATGGGCTGTTTAAGTTGTGACACCATTAGTTTCTAACATTTAACTTTTTACCCAATATACTAAATGTTTCTTGGACATTTTGGCTATTAATCATCTGTAAGCCAAAATACAAGAATTAAGTAATGTGTTTTATTTTCTGAAATGAGTAAAAAAATTATGGCCATCCCAGGTTTTTATTCTTGACTCTCTGCCAATTCCTGATTGTCTTGAATTTTCTGCCCTTCTTTCTGTAAACATACTAATAACTTTAGGAAGCTGATGTCATACTGTACATGTGGTTTTGTTTTATAATTAACCCAATTTTAAATTTTTTTTCTTTTTTTTTTACAGGGCAAAGAGTGGCTTTGTCTGAATTGTCAAATGCAGCGAGCAATGGTAGGAATGGATCCCCCTGGCATGTCGAAGCCTATGCAAGGCTCTGGCCCCCCCTCGCCTCAGAGACAGGCACCTGGCAAGCCTGGGAAGCTGCTGATAAAGCAGCAGAGCACCTCTGACCAAGGGTTAACACCACCAACAACACCAAGGCAGAAATCCCCAGGTCCTTCATCTCCAGGACCCCTTTCTCCAGGCTCTTCATTATCAGGATCACCCAAAATTGACCCCAAGACAGGGCGCCCCATTCAGCAGAAGTCCAGTCCTCAGCAGTCTCCTGCTAAAGCTAAACAGGAATCAAGCTTCTTTGGGGGTCTGGGAGGTATCAGTTTAGGAGGGCTCACAGATTCAGCTAAACCCCCTTCATCTGCTGCACAAGCTGCGGAGTCTGTTACAGGGAAACTGTTCAGTGGGTTTGGCGGATTGATGGAGTCATCGAAGCCTCCTACAAAGGCTGCACCAAAACAAGATGAATCTGTGGCTGGAAAGCTGTTCGGGGGGTTAGGGGGCCTGACGGAGTCGACTAAACCTCCTGCTACTGCATCTCAAATGTTCAGTTTTGGCTCATCGCTTCTTAGCTCAGCAAGCACTCTTGTCTCTGGAGAGGAAACCAAAGCACCAGAGTCTCCACCTGGGTCACCGGATTCGGGACCAGGTTCTCCTCCAGATTCTGATCCTGGTTCACCTCCGGACTCTCCCTTCTCTGCCCCTGGTTCTCCTCCAGATTCTGGCTCTGCCCCTGACACCCCTCCTGCCAGGTCCAAAAAGCCATCCAGACACACCTCTGTGGAGCAGGAAGAGAAACCTTCTGCAGCTGAATCTGCTCAGGCTCAAACCTCAGTTGCCAAGGAAAGCTGCCCTCTCTGTAAGCTGGAGCTGAATGTTGGATCATCTGATGCCCCCAACTACAGTCTGTGCACTGAGTGCAAGAAGAAAGTGTGCAATCTATGTGGGTTCAATCCTAATCCTCATTTAGGAGAGGTAGGAATGCTATTTATTACTCATTTATTTTCATCCCTAACCACACCATTTGCTCTATGAACATGCTATATACTTCTTAATTTTTTCAAATGTTGTGTAAATCAGTCCCTCACTTTTTTTTTAAATAAAATTAGCCAATGTGGAGATAATCAGGAGATTTCAAGCTTTATTTCCTTCATGAATATCTTGCAAAACTTTATCCTGATAGTCTATGATTACCTGAGTAAGTACATTCATTTACTTCATAAAATTGACATTAGAATGCTTCTGTAAAGCTGTATCTTCAATACAATGTATCTCCAATTTGCCTCCATACATTATCAGCTAAATGGCTTTTAATGACTTAATATAAAAAGTAGACTGATTGTACAACTAACAGCTTCTATATTTTCAAAACAAGAGCTGAATTAACTGTATTTCTTAGTCAAATTAGTTCAGATTAGCTCATAGACGTATTTATATATCCAAAAATCCCTAATAATATTCAAGATTGTTTTCTTTGTTTCAGAAAAGCCATATGCTTTTTATATAAATTACCAAAAGCTGAATACTTTCTGACTTTTGCATTCAGCAAACTGAATGAATTTATTTCTCGGTCATTGTACTGTGTGAAGCAGCACGTTTCAAGCACAAATGTGTTGATATGAAGTGAAGCTAAAGAATATTGACGTTTTCCTTTTTACTGTGCAGCTATATCACTGTCAGTGAAGCAGTATTCAAGTGGTGTAATTGGTACAATGTTCTTAAGCTTAAAAGCCTTACCTTGGCTTCTTCAAATATTTTTTTCTTGCCATTCTTGTCAAATTGCTAAATCTTTTTTTTTTTTTTTTTCCCCTCTGGAAAAATAAACTTTCTCCAGAGAACACTGGCTTGTTCATTTCCAATTTTGGAGTAAGAGCTTATTTCTTATGCAGAATCATCTTACAATGTTGTGATGTAAATATATGGAGCACCAGAAATAAATGCAGTCATTAAATTCCAATATTTAAATCATACATTGAGAAATTCATTTAAAAAATTTTTTTGAAAATATGATTTTTAAATAAAATTATTAAAGAGGTATTGTAAATTCCATTTTTTTCTTTTTATCCAAATTAAACCAGTGTCCCATGGCTTACCAGCCTGCCAGGTGCCAAGTGTAGTGACTGATAGTTCTGGCATCAGTGAACAAAAATATAAGTTATAATTGCAGAGTTAAAATATACCTAAGGATGCAGCCTACTAGAATAGACAAATGCTTCTAATTAAATGACAAAAAATTTGGTCATTTTATTGAAAAATTAAGTTTGGATAACAGCTGAATGACTGCTCAAGACTCAAGCATTTGTAAAGTTCGTTCATACCTGAAAAAAGATTAGAAATGGGAGAAAAACAGTGGATGCTGCATTTTCTCCTAAAATATTCGTAAGAACCAATCTTCTGTTCTTCTACCAAGCCTTGTCATCTCCCACATGGATTACTGCAAACACTTCTTTTTGGTTTTTCCAGAAATCCCTCCTTTTCCTTCCATTTAGTCCTGAATTCAGCAGTGTAATCATTTCAACACATCACCCAAGACTTACAGAAGCTTTACTGATTGCGTGTCAACTTCAGAATTCAGTTCAAAATCCTCCTGTTCACATTCAAAGTCATCCATAATCTTCTCCCCTCATCACCAAAGGGAGCAGAATTTTCTCCTGCTCTGCTTCCAGACTCTGGAATTTTATAATACTGATACTCTGTTTAAATCAAGGCTAGAAACATATCTATTCAAGACCGTGTATCTTCACTGATTGCCCTGCCTGTGCCTTAAATGAAATATATTATCATAACCAACAACTCAATGATGGTTCCAAAAACTATTATACTATGCATACCAGTAAAGATGTGAAGAAATGCCGAAAAATGAATGAGAAAAATTAAAACTAATTGAATCCTCACCTCTCTCAAAGAGCAACCATGTTCACATAAGCAAAATAGCTGCTTCTTTTTTCAATCCTGTCAGAATTAATGAAACAAACATCAAAACAAAGAAATAAAGAGAGAAAAAAAAGACTTCAATTTATAAACATTTATGGTTTGTAAAAGACAGCACATATACTTAAGCATAATTGGGCATCAGAAGGCCCACTGGTGACAATGGTTTTGAAATACCAATACTGGTAAGAAAAATACCTCAAGAATAATATACCACACCTAATTATAGATGGCAAAAATAATTTAGAAATACTAAAAATAGTAAAATGAAAACTAACAGAATGTGTGACAACTGAGCTTTAATGGATTTGCATATAGCACAACAATATAATTAGTCTTTATAAATGGCTCTATCACTATTACTTGTATTAATCCTAATCTGCATTATACATTTACTTTAGTACTTTTATAGATTTGGCTGGATCCTGACTCTGCTCTGATTTTTGTTTTGTTTATTCCCTGAAGAACTTTGAAGATAACCTAGTTGTTCATTTCCTAATATACATTTATTAGAGTTAAGTAAAGTTATCCCATTTTGAAGCTTGGCTTTGATTTCAGTCCAGATTTACTGAATAACAAATAAAAATCTTTAATTAGTATTTTCTGAATGAGTTATGCTTTAAAATTATACCCAACAGTTAGCTGGGAATCAGGCTCCATTCCCAGGAGAGGAAGAGAAGACCACCTGATTGGCTGACAGCTGCCAACCTGAGCTTGGGCTAAAAAAAAAAGACCTCTTTTTTTATATTAAGTGAGATCCTAATAAACCAAGTAGTCGAGTTTAACAAACATGTTTAACAAACCATTAAAAAACTGGATTAATAATTACAATATACAGTTCCTCTTTAATAATAAAATCTAAAATGACCAATTACAAAACACTTACAGAAATGCCTAATGTATAAAAATTGCTGCAAATTTTATCTATACAACATTTATGTGTTTTGTTTTTTTTTTTTTACTTAATTTTTCAAAAAATCCAATGACACTTCTATTTTTTATTTATTTTATTTTTTTCTGTAAATTATTTCATGGTCCAGGCTTTAAAGGGTAAAAAAATGATTTCTAATAGTATGGTTAAATGTAACTTTTGAAATTTTATTTCTTTGTAAGTGGCTCTCCTGGTCCTCCATATAAACTGGCTTCACTGTAGACAATGACGCCAACGTTTCAGCTACAAATATATGTATTTTCAGGCTGCCTCTTGGGACTTTGAAAAGCAGAAATATTCCAACTTGTGCATCACATCCATTTGAAGCTTTTGTATCATTATTTTACAGTGGGGAAAAAATAAGTTTAGAAATTAGTACAATGATAATACATATAAACTTCCATAAAAGTATGTAAATCTTGCACAATTAAAGTCAATGCTTTTAAAGATGATTATTTCCTTTATGTATAAAAATAGGCATAAACATTTGTTTTGGAAATCTAGTCCTTTTGGTTTCCTGTTTCCTTTGTTGTCAGGATTGGTTAGGTGATTTGTCCTACCTCGCTGTGTGTGTGGGTGTGTGTGTGTGTGTGTGTGTGTGAGTTTCTGTCTGGTGGAAGCACAAACACAACAGATGGTGATATATGGTTAAAGATTTGTTCAATTTATTATGGAAATGTGCCCAGAATGCATGCAAGACGTATTCATACATGCTGCACCGACTTACTGTTTATTCCATGCAATATATGTGCTGATCCATACTCAATATTGATGCACAGCATGATTCCAGATTTAATTTAACACATCTATATGAGCAAACTAATAATGGACCATGATCTGCTGATGTTTGTATTTCGTAACTAGGTGCAAGATTTTCCTGATTTGGTGGTTTTATTACTTGTTGCATTTCTTAGATCCATCTTCATTAACTGGAAGTAGTGTTAAGCTGGAGATAAAACCCTTACAACTCCCATCTATCACTTTTTTTCTTTTTTACTATTTAAAAACTGTGTTGTTTTTCAAGTTTTTGTAAGAAGATCTGATACTTAGAATTTGTTCGCCTTTATGATACCAGTGCCTTTATATATTAATTATTTACTGCCGTTGAATCATCTCATGCTGGAGATTTAAAAACAAATCAAAAAACAAAATAATCAATTTTTTTTCTCTTTTGGGGGTGAAAAAAAATCAATGGTAAGAATCGTTTGCAACAAAATCACTGACCAATTACTCGTACCCAAAAATAATTAATTAAAAATTATTTCAAGAGGATTTTATGTTCTCAATATAAGTTTCTTTAGTATGTGGAAATGTTAATCCTCGACTATTTAGCTCGAGTAGAATAGGGAATTAAGGTATGTAAAGGAAAAGGTGTTCAGCCTATCAGCAGGGTTTTCCTTTCATACAGGACTTTAAGAATCATGAGGAAAAAAATCTCCACTGCTCACTGTTATAAAACTGAAGCAAAGAGAAACACCTGGTGTAATTAGGTCTACAAATAGGGCCATTAGATGCTCTATAAAGGCCAATGAGTTGCTTCTAAACCCTTTAAAACCTGATCCAAGAATAAAACAAAACAAAAAATTACTTTTTTTTGGTTTGAATTACTTATTTGCCCTTTTAACAAAATATGTAAAAAAAAAAAAAAAACAGAAATACATTTTAGATATTAATAATTAATAATATTAATTTTTGTGTAGTCTTCTACTGGCTGTTATCAGGTATATCTGATTGTGTACAATAGGATTTTGAGCAAAGTTTTTACCATTAAATTATGCAAAAGGTGTCAGATGCAAAACATTTCAGAAACCGTATGTATCAATTACGATACATTTGGCATTATGGGGTTAAGGGGGAAAAAAAGTGTTTTTCTGTCCTAGACTCAATGATAATCTCAAGGACATGAAATGTTCATTAAACTTCAATATTTGTGACTATGGAGACCAAATAAAGGTGATCAATATTCATATTAACATTGATAATGCATTTTTCTCACTAATATTATGCAGAATATTTTTTTATTTAGGCTTTTTACACAGTAGCCTATTCTTTGGATTGAAGGAATTTAAATTTGGGCCCTTTGTTCATAATGTGTTGAGTTTGTATTGGCATT